CAGAGTGCAAAAGCTCTTCAGGTAGGAAGGTAGGGTTGCCAGGTGTACGGTTTTCGACCGGAACGCCCGGTTGAAAAGGGACCCTGGCGCCTCTGGTCAGCACTGCCGACTGGGCCGTCAAAAGTCCGGTCGGCCGCGCAGCGGGGGTCTGGGGCTAAGGCAGACTCCCTGCCTGCCCTAGGTCCGCATGGATCCTGGAAGCAGCCAACAGGTCCTTGCGGCCCCTAGGTGCATGGGCAGCCAGGGAGGCTCTGCGTGCTACGCTTCCGGCCCGTCAGACATTTTTATCCTGCCCTCAAGCTCCCGCCAAGGAGCAGGGTCAGCGGTTTGCCCCGCTCCGCCCGGCGCTCCCCAGCCCCGACTCACAATTCCCTTTATGAGCTCCATCTTCTGGCACGCAGAGCCAAACTGTGACATCACCGCGCTGTTTCTGGGATTGGAACCCTGCCCCTACGCGGCAGACCCCCCCCCACTACGCGGCAGCATGCCCAATCCCCTCCCTGTCTCCTATGGCCCCACCCTCGAGAGCCTCGAAATCGCCCAGGGGCCGCTCCCATCCCAGCTAGGGTGACTCCGCCCGTTGTGGTGCCTGGTACGGCCGCCTTGGTGTCACTGCTGGCAGGGCCCCTAGGAGTCCCCAGTACCACCCCATAGAACCCCCCCTCCCCTGCACCACACCCCATGAGTCCTCCTTCTTCCCACTTCAGTAACATCCCTTATACAGCTCCCCCATGCTACACCCCATAGAGTTCCCCTCCATCACCGGGCATTCAGGGCCTGCCATACAATTTCCTTATCCAGATGTGGCCCTCGGGCCAAAAAGTTTGCCCACCCCTGGTCTAGGGGCTGCAGGGACCTGGTGGCTGCTTCCTGGGAGCTTCCGCCACTCCGACCCAGAACCACCTCCCACACCACAATCCCCTACCCTAGTCCGGAGTCCCCTCCTGCACCCCAACTTCTGGAGCTTACACCCCCCCAACAACCCAAGCCCCTGCCCCAGCCCTGAGCCCGCTCCTGCACCCCAGACCCCTCATCCCTGGCCCCATCCCAGATCCCACATCCCCAGCCAGAGTCCTCACCCCCCACACACACCCCAACCCCCTGGCCCAGCCCAGAGCCCTCTCCTCACCCTGAACCCCTCATTTCTGCCCCCACCGGAGCCCACACCCCCAGCCCAGAGCCCATACCCCCCCAACCCCTTTCCCAAGCCCTGAGCCCCCCTGCACCCCAAACCTCTCATCCCTGGCCCCACCCCAGAGCCTGCACCCCCAGCTGGAGCCCTCACCCCCCTCCCATACCCCAACCTCCTACTCCAGCCCAGTGAAAGTGAGTGAGGGTGGGGGAGAGTGAGCTAGGGAGGGAGGGAGGGGGAATGGAATGAATGGGGGCGGGGCCTTGGAGAAGGGATGGGGCGGGGCTTCAGGGCAGGGGTGTTCGGTTTTGTGTGATGAGAAAGTTGGCAAACCTATAGGAAGGCCTGGGAGAGATGCAAACAGGGGGACAAAAAAAAGGGACTGCAAATCTTTGCAGGCAGTCCTGGGAGAACCCTGAACAAGCCAGGGAAAGCCTGCAGAGTATTCCAGGCAGAAAGGCCTGGGAGTAGGAAGAGAGATGTTTGTTTGTTGGATTTTAATTGGAGATTCTGAAGTAATTTTCTGTGAATAATCCCAAACCCCAAGGAGGACCTGAGTAAGGGGTCCTGAAGAGGGGGAAAGAGAGGCAGGGTACTGCAGAGTGACCTCTGGCCATGAGGGGGTGATCAGGTGGTGACTGGCTCTGTTACAGATGGCAATACCTTTGTTCTTGTTAATACATCGCTACCCAGTTGGGAATCAAGTGGGTAACAAATACTCCCATGTGAGTCATGCCAGATCTCTTTTCTGGAGTGGAGAGGTAGCATCTGATCTCAGATACAATAATCCTAGAATTAAGGTGTGGGCACTCTGAAATGGATTTAATTTACATTGTTAAGGAGTTGATTTAAACTTCATGATATAAATAAGCCCAGGTTTAAATTGATTTTAACACCTTGTCTTATTAGGAAAAAGTCTGAGTTGAGGTGGTGTTTAGGTAGCACATGCTAGCTAAACCCCACCTACATTTAGGCCTGGTCTTCAGAGAATCGTAGAAGATTAGGGTTGGAAGAGACCTCAGGAGGTCATCTAGTCCAACCCCCTGCTCAAAGCAGGGCCAACCCCTACTAAATCATCCCAGCCAGGGCTTTGTCAAGCCGGGCCTTAAAAACCTCTAAGGATGGAGATTCCACCACCAGGGCCGGCGTCAGGGTTTTGGCCGCCCCAAGCAGCCAAACAAAAACAAAAACAAAACAAAACAAAAAAAGCCACGATCGCGATCTGCGGCGGCAATTCGGCGGGAGGTCCTTCGCTCCGAACGGGAGTGAGGGACCGTCCGCCGAATTGCCGCCGAATCACTGGACCTGCCACCCCTCTCCGGAGCAGCCGCCTCAAGCACCTGCTTGGTAAGCTGGTGCCTGGAGCCGGCCCTGTCCATCACCTCCCTAGGTAACCCATTCCAGTGCTTCACCACAGGGCTGCTGAGAGCGGGTTCGGTAGGGTGACCAGACAGCAAGTGTGAAAAATCGGGATGGGGGTGGGGGGTAATAGGAGCCTATATAAGAAAAAGACCCCAAAATCGGGACTGTCCCTATAAAATCGGGACATCTGGTCACCCTAGGTTCGGGTCCCGATGAAAAATTTTTTCAGGCCCCCCAGCAAGGGCAGACCGGCTAAACAGGGCCGACGAAGCCGGGGAAGCCGGGCCCTGGGCCCCCTTCCGGACCACCGGGCCCCGGTAATTTGTACCGGCTCCCCCCCCGCCCTCTCGTCGGCCCTGCTTCACCAACCTCCTAGTGAAATAGTGTTTCCTAATATCCAGCCTAGACCTCCCCCACTGTAGCTTGAGACCATTGCTTCTTGTTCTGTCATCTGGTACCACTGAGAACAGCCGAGCTCCATCCTCTTTGGAACCCCCCTTCAGGTAGTTGAAGGCTGCTATCAAATCCCCCCTCATTCTTCTCTTCGGCAGACTAAACAAGCCCAGTTCCCTCAGCCTCTCCTCCCAAGTCATGTGCCCCAGCCCCCTGATCATTTTCTTTGCCCTCCGCTGGACTCTCTACAATTTGTCCACATCCTTTCTGTAGTGGGGGACCCAAAACTGGACGCAATACTCCAGATGTGGCCTCACCAGTGCCGAATAGAGGAGAATAATAACTTCCCTCGATCTGCTGGCAATGCTCCTACTAATGCAGCCCAATACACCGTTAGCCTTCTTGGCAACGAGGGCACACTGCTGACTCATATCCAGCTTCTTGTCCACCGTAATCCCCAGGTCCTTTTCTGCAGAACTGCTGCTTAGCCAGTCGGTCCCCAGCCTGTAGCAGTGCACGGGATTCTTCCTTCCTAAGTGCAGGACTCTGCACTTGTCGTTGTTGAATCTCATCAGATTTCTTTTGGACCAATCCTTCAAAATTTGTCTAGTTCTTGACTAAGAAAAGGTGTCAAGGGCTTGTCTACACAGGAAATTATATTTATGATGGCAGAATTATACCAGTATACTGGAATTATAGGTTTCAGAGTGGTAGCCGTGTTAGTCTGTATCAGCAAAGAGGACACACAACAAAAACACTAACCCAGGAACCTATCCTTGCAACAAAGCCTGTTGCCAACGCTGTCCACATATCTATTCAGGGGACACCATCATAGGACCTAATCACATGAGCCACACCATCAGAGGCTCGTTCATCTGCACATCTACCAGTGTGATATATGCCATCATGTGCCAGCAATGCCCCTCTGCCACGTACATTGGCCAAATCGGACAGTCTCTATGCAAAAGAATAAATGGACACAAATCAGACATCAAGAATTATAACATTCAAAAACCAGTCGGAGAACACTTCAATCTCCCTGGTCACTCGATTACAGACCTCAAAATCGCAATACTCCAACAAAAAAACTTCAAAAACAAGAAACTGCAAATTGGAATTAATTTGCAAACTTGACACCATTAAATTAGGCTTGAATAAAGACTGGGAGTGGATGGGTCATTACACAAAGTAAAACCTATTTCCTCATGCTAATTCCCCCCCCCTACTGTTACTCACACCTTCTTGTCAACTGTTGGAAATGGGCCATCCTGATTATCACTACAAAAGTTTTTTTTCTCCTGCTGATAATAGCCCACCTTAACTGATTACTCTTGTTATAGCTGGTATGGCAACACTCATTTTTTCATGTCCTCTGTGTATATATATCTTCCTACTGTATTTTCCACTGCATGCATCCGTTGAAGTGGGTTTTAGCCCACGAAAGCTTATGCCCAAATAAATTGGTTAGTCTCTAAGGTGCCACAAGTACTCCTCGTTCCTTTTGGAATTATAGGGAAGCTGTATAATCTAAACCGGAATAAGAGTGTCCACATGAAGAGTTACATTCAGATAATTATGTTGGTAAAATTGTATTGGAATAGTGCACAAATCAGCATATCATTATAATGAAATCTAGCTGTATCAACATATCATTATAACTGAAATGTGCATAAATCGGCATAGTTTTCAGACAGGGACATCTGCCTTGATCGGCTAGAATCTGCAAACTTGGCATATTATTATAATAAATGCTCCCTAGATCACTATCATAGATGTGCAGAAATCAGCCTATCATTATAATAGCAACCAGCATCAATATGCATACCATAATCAAATGGATGTTAGTATATCAGTACCATGAAAATCTGCATAAATCAGCATATTATTATACTGGCAATCGGCATACGGCCGCATATCATTATCATACATTGATCTACGTCTGCATATGACTACAACGGCAAGCTGCAACGTCAGCATATTATAATAGTCATCTGCATAAATCAGCATACCGCCATAAACGCGACCTACGTCAGCATGTGAACGCGGCGATCCGCGCACGTCAAACCCGCGCGGCGCCGCCGCCGGAGAGGCACATAAATTAGCATATGATTTGCATCTCGTTCAGGGCCCGGGCCCGGGGGCGCGGGATGAGGCCGCTGTTGCCCCTGCGGCTCCGGCGGGCGGCGGCCGGGGGGCTCCCGCGCTGCTTCGGCATGGCCCGGCGCGGGGGTCCCGCCTGGCGGCTCTCCATCGAGGGCAACATCGGTACGGGCGGGGGGCGCTGCGTTAGGAGGGGCTCCGTGAAGAGAGAGCGGGAAGCTGGCGGGGGTGATGAGGAGAGGGGGGCGTGCGGAGGAGATGGGGTGCTGGGCAGGGGGGGGGGGGGGGGAGCTGGGGGTGCTGTGAGGAGAGGGTGGTGCTGGGCGGGGGTGGGGGCTGTGAGGAGAGGGCGCGCTGAAGGAACATCAGAGGGATCCGTACATCAGAGCTTTGGGCTAGAGTGTGTGTGAGAGAGAGAGAAAGGCAAACGGGCAGTGACAGTGCCCTAGCCTGTGTCATTGGCTAGGGTGGTGTCGGTGTGGAGTGCAAACAGATTAGATATCTAAAAAGATTTGCTTTAAAGCTCTGTGTTGGATCTATCTTGTTAGTAACATAAGACCCTTCTATGCCCCTTATATTGCAAACTCTTAAACACATGAGTAATCACATTGATTTCAGTGGGATTTAAAGTTAAGGATCTGTGGAAGGGGTTTGCAGGGATTGGGATCCAAAATATTATCTTGGAAGCTTGGACAGCATGCTCAGTTCTGTACAGAACAGAAAGCAAGAGCCCATAGTTGTGGATCTTTTCTTTCAGAATCCAACAGTGCTCTCCTTAAATAATGAGATTATGATTTTGCTTCATAGTGTTAAATTTAACACTCTAGCACTTTGCTAATTCACACTAATGGATGGAAGATTCGTTGCAAGTGACCAAACTTTGGAAACTAGTGTGGAACCAATAAAAAGCAAGGGTAATGAATCTTAGTGCATACAGTAGATTGTATTAAAATTTCTATCATGGTAGTACCCTGATGCCCTAGCTGAGATCAGGGATGTACTGGGCTAGGCACAGTACAAACATAGAATACAATACAGTCCCAGACTCAGAGTTTATGATCTAAGGCCCCAATCTTCAAATACTCATTATGCATAGAGATGAGTGTTTTTAGAACTGTGGCCTTAAAAGTTAAGGCAGACAAATAGGAATAGACAACCAGCTTATTTTGTTAGAACTAGTACTTCATAAAGTCCTAGTAAGTCTACATCTTAGGTGTTCTTTAGGTGCCTCTTATATGTTGTCTGTGTCGAGTAAATGTATTGTTATATATTTGGTTTAAAAAAAAAAATAGGGTCTCATATTGAGTCTCCATTCAATCTTTGAGAAGTGGGAGAAGCTGTTAATTGTGTGCTGATTTGAGAGAGTTTCTTCTGTATGGAGAGGGGGGTTACCAAAAGGTATTTTTAGTGTATTTTTTAAAACAAAATATGTACTAAATACATGTCAAAACAATGGCAACTTAGCTGCTATTGGAGGCAGGATACTGGGCTAGATGACTAAAGGTCTGATCAGGCATGGCAAATCCTGCATGTATCATTGTCTCTATTTTTGCTTAGGAAAGTCACTTTTTTTTTTTTTTTTTTTTTAATTGAGCTTACCTGCAGGATCTGGTAATGCTTTCCTAACCAGACTTCGACAACTGCTTTTGTATTTTAATTTGCAGCTGTGGGCAAGTCCACTTTCGTAAAGCTGCTGGGAAAAACCTTTCCAGAATGGCAAATGGCTACAGAACCAGTGGCAAAATGGCAAAAGGTTCAAGCTTCCAGTACCAGAGAGGTAAGTGTGAAAGTGAATAACCAGAGTGGGGGTTCGTGGGCGCTGTGACAAGAGTTTCCATCACCTGGCTTTAGGCTTTTCAAAATTTGTTGTGTGATTTTTAGTGGTGCTTATGAACCCCGGGGACCTAAATCCTCTCTTTATCTGCAGCGTAGGCACGTCACGGGCAGTGTCAGGACACGCTTCGCTCATTGTTCTACTATTGTGCCTCAACCTTTCCCTGTAAGACAAGGTTAAGAAGGGCGTTCAGTGACAACATCATCAGGTTTAACTGGTCTCTATTCAAGATGGTTTTCCTCATCCATAAATCTCTTCCATAATTTGATACTTGAATAGGTACATGTTTTTAAAGGGGAGATAAATATTTAACACGCCAACTCCTGTGATCTAGACTACGATTGCATCAACTTTAAATTCTTAAGAGCTTTAAAAAATAAATCCCTGTTTCTTAATACAGCTCATCCAAACATCCTGTATCCAGAGGACAAATATTTTTTTACTTGCATTGAGTTCAGCTCTCTAATGGCAAAAGAAATGTTGAGCAGAACAACCTGATTCTTATTAAAGACCTAGATGGGATCTGCTAATCCTCTGTATCTCTGTAGTCTCCCTGATATTTGTTTTACAGGACTTGCATCTTTAATTTATCATGAGCTCATTGTTGTGATTTGATTTTTTTTTTTAAATGATGTACATTATAGGCCCAATCAACCACTGCTGACCAGCAATAGTAGCAATTTTCTATGAAGTACCACAACCCAGGAGGGGACAACACCTGCTCTCCTCCTTCATGATAAACTCCATGGAGTAATTGGGGTAGGCGGGTAAGGCAAGCATAATTTTTGTCCCCAAATGGTTGACAAGCAGCCATCTGGGATCAAGGTCAAGCATGTGCCTTGTTGCTAAGAAGGCTAACGGCATATTGGGCTGCATTAGTAGAAGCATTGCCAGCAGATCAAGGGAAGTGATTATTCCCTTCGATTCGGCACTGGTGAGGCCACATCTGGAGTATTGTGTGCAGTTTTGGGCCCCCCACTACAGAAAGATGTGGACAAATTGGAGAGAGTCCAGCGGAGGGCAACAAAAATGATTAGGGGACTGGGACACATGACTACGAGGAGAGGCTGAGGGAACTGGGGTTATTTAGTCTGCAGAAGAGAAGAGTGAGGGGGGATTTGATAGCAGCCTTCAACTACCTGAAGGGGGGTTCCAAAGAGGATGGAGCTAGTCTGTTCAAAGTGGAGGCAGATGACCGAACAAGAAGCAGTGGTCTCAAGTTGCAGTGGGAGAGGTCTAGGTTGGATATTAGGAGGGTGGTGAAGCACTGGAATGTTACACCTAGGGAGGTGGTGGAATCTCCATCCTTAGAGGTTTTTAAGGCCCGGCTTTACAAAGCCCTGGCTGGGATGATTTAGTTGGTGTTGGTCCTGCTTTGAGCAGGGGGTTGGACTAGATGACCTCCAGAGGTCTCTTCCAACCCTAATCTTCTATGATTCTATGTGCGTTAGAGAAAGAGGATTATTGCTGAGTTTTCTGTGTCCAGTTCTGGTGTCAACACTTCTTTTAAACTGGAGAGGATTCAGAGAAGAGCTACAGGAATAATCTGAGGTCTGGAAAACATGCAGTAAGAGATTTAAGGAGCTTAATCTATTTAGTTCATCAAGGAAGAGGTTAAGAGGTGACTTGATCATGGTCCAGAAATCCCTTTACAGTGACTCTAGCTATCAAAGGCAGAATAAAATCCAGTGGCTTGTAGTAGAAAAATTAAAACTGAAAATAAAAAGTTGTACCTTAACAGGGAGGGTAGCTAATCATTGGAACAACTTAACAAGGTAAATTCCTCATCACTTGGAGTCTTTAAATTGAGGTTGGATATCTCTAAAATGCTCTAGTTCAATGGCCCTCAACTTTTCCAAACTACTGTACCCCTTTCAGGAGTCTGATTTGTCTTGCGTACCCCCAAGTTTCGCCACACTTAAAAACTACTTGCTTACAAAATCAGACCTAAAAATACAAAGGTGTCACACAGCACACTATTACTGAAAAATTGCTTACCTTCTCATTTTTACATATAGTTATAAAATAACTCAATTGGAATATAACTATTGTATTACATTCCAGTGTATAGCATATAGAGCAGTATAAACAAGTCATTCTCTGTATGAAATTTTAGTTTGTACTGACTTCGCTATGTAGCCTGTTGTAAAACTAGGCTGAGTTGATGTACCCCCTGAAAGAGCTCTGCATACCCCCAGGGGTATGTGTACCCCCTGGTCGAGAACCATTGCTCTAGTTCAACTACAAGCTATTGGGCTCAAATAGCGTTACGTACCTAGCAGAGAATAACCCCCTCCACTGCAGGAATCCCTGGGTGAAATTCCCTGGCCTATGTAATGCAAGAAATCAGACTAGATGATCATAGTTATTCCTTCTGATGTGCAAATCTGAGTCTTGCACCAGTTCTACACTGAGAATACCCTGCGTCCAGTCATAGGGATGGATAGCCTGAGAACCTCTTTCAGTGAGACTTTCTTCTTAAATGTGCCTTTTTGCCATTCCCTAGCAGGCCTCGTCTTCTCAGAACTTTGGCAACCTGCTTCAAATGGTCTATCAGGAGCCTTCTCGGTGGTCCTATACGTTCCAGACATACTCCTGCATGAGTCGACTTAAGGCCCAGCTGGAGCCCCTTTCAGAGAAGCTGTTGAAGACCTGGGATCCAGTGCAGATTTTTGAGAGATCTGTATACAGTGATAGGTACAGTGCTAAAAATCTCCAAACCCCTGACTGCTCCGGCTAAACTACGGTGCTTTGTTAGTCAGTATGTGCGGAGAAACATGGCAATGCCATTTAAGATACCATGCCTCTTTTATAAAAAATAGGCCATGTTTGGTGCCTACACAATAAATACCGTTTGTTTTCTAGAGGTGGGTTTCTGACACAAACCCCTTTAACATGAACAAACTGATCAGGAAATCCTTACAACTATGTAAATAGGCACTTTTCTGACCCCTTTCACCATAGTATCACAAACATTTCTTATCATAGTACCTCTGTGATGTAGAGAGTATTACCTCTGTTTTACAGATGGAGAAACTGAGGCACAGAGCCTAAGAGCCAAATTCATTGCTGTTCTGGACCTTGTGTTGTCACTTACACCAATGTGAAATAAATGTAAAATGCCATCAGAACAGAAGGGTAGAATTTCATACTTGCTGTGCACCAGTGTAAATGACTGCACAAAGTGCAGGGTGTTGGTGAACTTGAACCCAAGGTTGTACAGGAAGTGTGTGGCAGAGGCGGGAATTGAATCCAGGTCTCCTGAGACCCAGTCAAGTGCCTTAACAAAAGATCATCCTTCCATAAACTGCCCCGGATTTTGTCTTTTGGCACCTACAGGAGCAGCAGAAACGGTGGATTAATGATTGAATTCTAGGTCTCTGTGATGCTCAAATCTGCATGTGTTCAAGCATCTCAGAAATCAAACACATTCAGGGTATATTCTGGACTAGTGATGAGATGATAACGCAATCTATCTGGCACTTGAATGGGCTAAAGTCCTACTGTCAACATAAACTTGAAACTGATATTTAAAAAAGAAAATCACGTATGTTATTAATAATAGGTCCAGTGGTAATTGGTGTCCTGTAAAAACCTAAGAGAGGGAACACAAGAGGTAGTTGGATTTTCAGATTCAAATTTGTTTTTCATTATTTTTCTTGCTTCCAATTTACAACGCACTCGACTCAGGGAATGAAAGTAGCCTGGTCAGTTTCGCTCTTAGGTATACATGGAACTCTGCCTGATGGTTGCCTGATTCATTTAGGTTAAAAAGGTCAAACAAAATTATCTTGCTGATACCTCAAGGGTCATAGGTTCATGTAATATGCACATGATATTTATGAATGTTTCACATGATTTTAATTGGAGCAGTTCATACATGTTCACACTGCTTTCATTTACTCTGGTGTAAATTGGAAATAACTCCATTGTAGTTACCAGTGTGACTAAGCAGACTTTGTCCTACATGAAGCAAACACACCGACTGCCACCATTCTCAGCAGTCTGTTTCTAAAGGACAAACGAAAACCTTAGCTAGTAAGCTAAATGTCCTTAAGTTCCAAGGACTAGTTAAAGCTGATCTGTGGTGTTTATTGTGCTGTAGTCCATTTCATTTCCTGATTCTCTTGCATTACCTTGATGCTGTTGTGGTTGGTTTTCTAGCATAGCAGAAGAATGTTAATTAAAGCAGTTAATTTAAAGGTTTATATATTCATTTAAACATTTCCATTTATATTATTTCAAAGAAACAATCTTTAGAACCTAGTTGAACATGTATTTTGAGTTGCTAATTGCCACTTATGTTGCAGACCAAAAAGAACCATCCTCACTCATTTAATTAAAGTTTCATGTGTGTACTGGAAGGAGCTTGATATATTTTGTAGTTCCTGTCAGATAATGGGACTTGCAGTGTTTAAACAGATGTTGACTTGAAAAATGGGAATTACAAGGTTTTCTGTGTGTCCAGTTGTATGAAGTGGAGCATGAGGTATACTGAAAGTGTTTGTTTTCCAGAGAGGTGTCTCCTATGATGTAATGCCTTCTAGGCTATTTGGAATATGTTGGCACTAGATCTGGCTAAAGGGTCGCTTTTTCCAGATGCCTTGGTGAAGTGGATTGGAGGTGAGGTAATAAACTATATTTATGCATTCGCTGAAAGTGAGGGAAGTGTGAACATTACATAAGAGAAGCATAAACAGTGTGTTCGAAGCAAACGCTTTGGGTTGAGACTTGTGAAAGAGGGAAGTAATTCATGGTGTGTGGAAAAATATAATCCCTGACTATAATTCACTATTTAAAAAAAAAATAGTAGCTGGCTGTTTTAGTAGCATCTCTGTAATTCAAGGGCAGCATTTCAGCAAAGGGTCCTGCAGTAGAGGGTTTTCAGTGGGATCACTCCAAAGACTCAACCAAAATTTGTTAATCTTGAGGCCTTGCTCCAAGACCTATTTCCACAGTTTTTTGCCCGCAGGCAGTGCGGGAGGGAGTTAACACCTTTTCGGTTCTTAAGCTCTTCTAGAAGGGGAAAGTTAATGTATGATACCAATCCCACATCGCAGTCTGGGAAACCTATTTTCACTTAAATGTGTTGGAATTAAATGTCTGAGGGAATTGGTAATGAGTTAATTCAACTTTAGGGCGCTGTTTCAAATCGTGCTTAGGTCAGTAGTGACCAAAAATTGTTACTGCCCTATGTCATGCCCAGTTGGTGGTCTGTGTGAAATGAGTTGGTGAGTCTCTGCCTTGCTACAGCTGGGGTGGGGACGGAGAGCCTCACATCACACCACACAGCCAACAGGATTGGTACTATCTGACCTCATCATTGCTGGTGGTCTCAGCAGACGGATAAAAGACTGAATGCTCCAATGAGACACAACTCCCTTCCCAACCCTAGAGAAGGTCTGTTGTATTAATTTAGGTGGAGTACATATGGGCCAAAGGTGTTAACATAACCCAGTCACCATCCAACACTAAACAGTCTTAAACAAGGTTTGAGGTTTGGTATACAGAGACCTCAGCCTGCTTAGCACCATGGCGCAAACGCCATTAAAAATCCAGAAAAGGTTATTGTTTTTTTTCCCCCAGGGGGAGGGATAGCTCAGTGGTTTGAGCATCAGCCTGCTAAACCCAGCCTTGTGAGTTCAATCCTTGAGGGGGCCATTTGGGGATTTAATTGGGGATTGGTCCTGCTTTGAGCAGGGGGTTGGACTAGATGACCTCCTGAGGTCCCTTCCAACCCTGATATTCTATGAAAAGAAGGAAAAACAGTTAAAGCATTAAATAAAGCTTTAATTTAACAACATTTCTTGTTTCCTTTCCCTTTTGCTAGAGAGAGGTTTAAAAGGAAAAGCCCTTTGTTTGATAGTCTCTTAGGCTATGTCTACACTACAGACCTTACGGTGGCACAGCTGTACCACTGCAGTTTCCTGTGTAGCTGCTCTGTGCCAGGAGGAGAAAGTTCTCCTGCTGGCGTAATTAAACCACTCCGAATGAGCAGTGGGAGAGCATCTCTCACTGATATAGTGCTGTCCACACCAGCACTTAGAATATCAGGGTTGGAAGGGACCTCAGGAGGTCATCTAGTCCAACCCCCTGCTCAAAGCAGGACCAATCCCCAATTTTTGCCCCAGATCCCTAAGTGGCTACCTCAAGGATTGAACTCACAACTCTGGGTTTAGTAGGACAAGGCTCAAACCACTGAGCTATCCCTCCCCCTAGGAAAACCCTGTGAGTTAGGGGTGGGTTTTTTCTTCCCCACACCGCAGACTGACAAACGTGCTAGTGTAGACAAAGCCTTAGATGGTATCCAAAAGCGGCAATAACTCTTCTTTTTTGGGGGAAAGAAAAGCTGGTTGATATGGGCTAAAGCTGCTGTTTGTTGAAATCAGTTTTAGAAGAAAAAGCTCTCTTGTTTCAGAGTCTCTTACGTGGTTATAACTCATCCCAGGTTGTGTTTCGAATTCAGCTGGAGCTGACAGACATGGTGATGTCATCTGAGTCCCTTCCTGTGGCCTGGTTTGGTCAGAACATCTGTCACGATCACAAAGGCCCCAGGTTGCAGGAAGTGGTAGTGGTGGCAGCCCTGATGGCAAGTCTTGCTTCAGTAGCCTCCATTGTTTCTTTGAGTGTCCCCACCCTACCCTCAAAATTCTCTTTTTGTAAGGACCCAACAAGGGAGTGATGTGTGGAATAGCCCATTTCCTCATTATTTTGTCCACCAATTAGGCCTAATAGCTGACACACCAATTTTGGTTCACTAACATCCAGCTCCACATAATCTATTTTTCACAAGCATGATTTCAACAATCCTTGAGAACTGTATCAGTAGGCCATTTTTGTTTAGACTGTTTCAGTTTTTCTGTCTCCTTTTTGTGCCTTTTCCCATCAATATTTGTTATTATAGGTTATTGTGACATCACATGAACTTTCACTCACTTCTTACAATTAAACTCATGACTAAGGGTATATTTATAGGCCCTATTATCACCATGGGCCCCTACAAGTCAAGTTCGAGGTACATTGGCAGGGTGGTGTAAGAGGAAAGCTCCCCCTGCCACTGTCAACTCCATCCCTGTTCTGTAGGTAAACATGCCCTCATCCTCCAGGGCTGACAGCCCAATCAACACCGCTACAACTGCACTACCTAGTCCAGAACTAAGACAATTAGCAATAGAAAAACCCTCGAGTAACTGTTCTGCTATCCAGTGTGACACTGTTTGAACAGCCCAACTTGTCTCTCTTCTCTGGGTACTGAAATGTCTGTGTTAAATCTATGCTGTCGACATGACCTCTTGGAGCAGGGGCTGTGTCTTCCTGTGTGTCTGTGCAGTGCCTGGTGCATTATGGATCTTACCACAGTTAAAATATACTTTGTCATTCTAGAACTGCAGGGAGTTTGTTTAGGCAGGTTTAATTTACTTGCTGTTCTCTTTTGTCCTTCCTTCCCTAGGTACATCTTTGCTAAGAATCTCTTTGAGCTTGGCCACCTCGCTGAGATTGAATGGACCATTTACCAGGATTTGCACACCTTCCTCCTACAAGAGTTCGGGGATCGAATTGCTCTGCATGGCTTTCTGTATCTCCAGGCAACTCCAGAGGTAACTGAGAGCATGACTGGGAACTAACTAAAATCATCTCTAGTGGCTGCATTGAAGGCTGGCCTTGCTTTCCTTGAGAGGCAAAGGAACTCTGGACCATATCAGCTCAGAAACAGACTGGGACTCAAGAGGTCTGGGTTCAACTCCCAGCCTTGCTGTGTAATTTGGGTCAAGTCAATTAATCCCTATGCCTCAGTTCCCAATCTGTATGATGATAATAGCCCAGCAATTAATGTGGGGTGGGTGTCTCTGAAAGGTTCCAGAAATGTGAGAGGGTAAAAACCAATACACCTAAGGACTTGTCTGCACTAGAGATTCCTGTGATTGCCAACTTATTTACCCGTCCTAGTATAATTCTGGCACATCCTTCTGTAAAGAACCTTCTAACTGCTCTGAGCTCTCACTGTAAGGGTCTTGACACAGTTTGCAACTGCTCAAGGCAGGAAAGCAGTGAGTAGTTGAGGTCAGTCACTAGTTGTATTATGGTAGCTCCTGGAAGCCCTGACCAAGATTGAGGCCCCAGTGTTCAAGGCACTATATGTATACATAGTGAGAGACAGTCCCTTTTCTGAAGAACTTGCACTAAGCAGACAAAGGGTGAGAGGGGAAACCGAGGCACAAAGAATCCAGTTACTTGGCTAAGCTTACACAGCAGATCAGTAGCAGAATCGGGAATAGAACCCAAATCTCAAGTGCTAATCCAGGGCTCTGTGAACTGGACCACATTGCCTCTCCAGTGAGGGCTATTTTCTTCTAAGAACTTATTCTGTAACCCAGAGGGAAAATCAGTTCCCTCTGTTATGTAGTGCTGACTATGCAGTCTTCGTTCCAAACAGCTACTCCTTGTTCTTGTTTTTTAAAGGCTTAGCCTCAGTATATGGGAAACTACTTTGAGGGTTGGGGGAATATAGACTGCTTTTATGTATGGATGGCTTCTCTCGGGGCTTCCTCTTTGTGCATCATGTTGGCTCTTCCTCTATCTGATGATGGCTGGATTCAGCTTCTTCCAGAGCTGTATCTGTCAACATTGACACAAGTTGCTGCCCTTCTAGCACTGGGCGGGTATGTATGTAAACATACCAAGTATGGGGCCCAGTTGTGCTTGTAGTGAAGTTAATGGAGTTTTGCCCCTGACTCCAGTGGATGAAAGGTCAAGTCCTTACATACCCACTAAACGTCTGGCCCTAGACAGGCATTGTGACTTCTAACTTGTCTGTCGTGTGAAGCCATCCCTACTTTGTGTGGCTGCATCCCTTTCCAGCTGCCTAATGCTGAATTTGAACTGCTGCTGTTGTCTGAAGTGCCCCATACCCATTGGCCCCATGCAAATGTGGTTGGGTTTGCAAAGCAGACCTCATTGAGTCCTGTCCCAAATGAGTGGGTCATGCTAATGGAGGAGCTGTCATTTCCTCCCTTCAGAAATGTTTGGAGCGGTTGCACCGAAGGGGGAGGCCTGAGGAGAAGGAGATCCAGTTGGAATATCTGGAGCAGCTTCACACTCAGCATGAAAACTGGCTAGTAAAGAAAACCACGGAGTAAGTGACAATAGAAATGGCTTCCAGATTCTCAGCCATGCAAGCCTGGCACTTTAAATGGGTGAATAATATGTCTTCTGCTGTGCAGAGGTGCCTGTTTTAGTTTGTGGCCTAGCTCCCTACCACCATCCTGCCTGTATAATCTGGTACCCTTTCCCAACCCTAGAGATTCCCTCCCTGATGCCTCCAGCTGTCCACCACCCTTCTTCATCCCTCACTTAGTCCTCCCATTACCCAGCCAGCTTTCTGCCATCTATCTTAATGACACCGAACACAGTCTTCTAAGGACATTTCAGCAGGCTCATCCCTTTCAGCAGTAGGCTCCCCTTTGTTACTTGTGCTTCTTTCCATCACACCAAATCCTGTAGTTCCTTCCCAGAGACCACTCTAACCCAACTACAGTCAGATAGTCAAGGGGCTGCTGCTTCTGGGGCTTCTTCACTGACTACTCATTCTATCACATTTCGTACCACACAGCAGGGTCACAGAAATAAAGTCACTTGCCCAAGGTATCACAGACAATCAGTGATAGAACCCAAGGGTTCGGGGTTCCAGTCCTCTGCTCTATTAGGCATGTTCCCTTCCCAGATACCAATAGGGTATAACAAAATTCATGATGGGCCTCAGAAGAGGGAGAAAGCTCATCTACCTCATGAAAATCTAAGGTGACCCCTTCCCTTCCATAGTCTTACCTTGGGTTTTGCTTGTATAATGTGCTGGTAGTTTACTGAATCTTGGAGTCCAAACAGGGTATAGGTATCTTGCTCGGAAGCAAGTAGAGGGCTCTACTGTCTTAGGTGCTGATGCCAATGGGAGTGGAGGGTTCCAGGCATCTCTCAGCATTAAGCCCTTTGCTTGGAAATCTTCTCTTTTGATGGGGCAGGAGGGAAGGGACTTGTTCTCGGCAGCTGGAGGAGTCTTTTTTTTTTTTTTCCCCCTTTCTTTTAATGATGGTGAAATTCTATATGCAGCAGACATCCTTCTTATGATAAAATAAACGTATGTTGAAGCAGTGGTGTGACACATCTGTTCTATGTCTGGGCATATTGTCTCTTACCTCTCCCCAGAGGTACGCTAATAAGCCTATTGTTCAGTTCTCTTGTTGTTTTCTTCAGGGTCCACTTTGAAAACCTAAGGAATGCTCCAGTCTTTGTGCTTGATGTCAATAATGATTTTGAGGATGACCCAGCTGAACAAGAAGAGCTCATGAGGAAGGTAAGCAGTGATGATACCAACTCATTTTTGCTATTCATGTAAAACGCAGAATTAGACGTGTTGGGTGAGAATGAGGAATATTTTCTTTCTCCTTTGCATGTCTTTCTCCTTCTAATAGCCATCTGTTATGTACTGTCCTATCAGCTTGGACTGTCCCTGCAGCAATATCATTTTATACTCTGATCCCATTTCATCCCACAAGCTAATCAGTCAAGCGGGGTCAGCAATTGGACAAGAGAGCTCCAGGTGCTGTGTATGTATGCTAGTTACTGTCTCCAGCATCCAGGCTTGGTATTAAGAGATGCTGTGCTGCTAGAGGTGATGACTTATAGATAAGACATAAAACTAAAGAACTGATTGCTGTGAGATCTTCAGAGTCACACTTCTTGAAAGGCATAGTTTTCCCCTCTTGGCCAAATGCCGTATCCGGTAATAACATGCTATCTGTGTAAATTACCACTGAAGTTGCTGTTGGATACGATTTTCCAGTTTCCTACCCTAAACCATAGCATTTTTGTAAGCTGTTAAACAGCTGATGGGTTTCACCCCAGAGGCACTGTATTTCAGTACTGGAGAAAAATGATCCCTCTGAATAGATTTTAAAACTATAGCTTCTCTCATCCTTGAGGAGCCTGAATAAATAGAAGATGACAATATTACTTCTCTGATCAGTGAAAATATACCGTGAATTCTGCCAGGAAGTCCATAGTGGAGGTTTGTTTGTTTAAGAGCAGGATAATGTTTGTCCATTCTTATTATTACTACTTGTATTATGATAGGTTCCTAGGAGCCACAGTCATGGACCAGGAATCCATTGCGTGAGGCGCTGTGCAAACACAGAAGATAGTATTATTCTTCCTTTTGTGGGGTTGTATTGATGTGGTGGCTGGCTTGCTAGAGGGAATGCTGGTATTTTCCCAGGGAATGCATTGGTGGGATTGTATTCTACCAATATTGTGTATGTAATGCATTCATGTAGGTATAAGTCTAATAAACGAGTTACATTTCACAGACTTATTAAATATGAGTACATTGCAGTGTTACTGCCTGTCCTCTAAAATGTATATGAAAAATTGTATGCTTGATTGTAATCTTCATGTGTGTTTGTTCAGCGCCTGCCACAATGGGGGGCCTTGACCTTGATGGTGAACTTTGAGAACTACTGCAATGAAAATAGTGATATCTTCTTCATTGACCCCCTCCAGGTCAAAAATTTTAAGACCTGCTAAAGCTTGTTGCTCTATCAGTATTCCTAAAAAAATAGTCGAACTTTGAAGTCCTTGTGATGACTCCTTAGCAAATAGATTGTTTTGAATGAAATGTAGAACTACTTAAGTTTTTGTTGCATGCTTTTCGTGCAGTCTGATAAATTTCACTTTTATAAAAGGTGCTCTCTTTCCCTCACAGGTAAAGGCTTTTATAAAGACTCTGTGATCTGAAGCTTTGCCATCTCCCTCCACTACCAATCCAGAATTTCTTATTTATTTGCGACCAGTTGGACCTGATAATGCTGCTTGCCATTAAAAGGTCAAACAAAATAATCAGCAAATCTGTGTGTCAAACTTGGAAGGCCAAAAATGTAACTGAGGTATTTTAGTGAATTACACTTGAATTCTGTGTTTTTCTTCCAAACCAAATGTTACTTTTCCAGGGAGGGAGAAAAGACGTACAGTCACCCATGAGCAACCCTATAGTAACAAACCCATGTGGGTCTAATGGAAAGAAGAAGATTAAGAATCACAGAAAATTAATTTTCTGATCTTCCAAAGGGTGTTATGATCAGTGGGGGAAAGAAGTGATGTTAGACGTTATGAAGAATCCCTTCTACTTATGCCACAGCTTAAGTATTTCAAACTTGATTTCCCTTCATTGCTGAAGGTGATCTTCAGAAACCTTCTATTCCATTACATGCTGAATGCACCCAATGAGGGTGTTGTAAAGAATTATAGGAACCAATGGTCCTGATTCACCACTGCTCTGCACCTGTGCAAAGTGAATGTAATATGCTGCCAAATCACTGTCAGCATTTCACACTCATTTAGCACAAGTGCAAGTGGTATGTTCAAGTAAGTGGAGAATAAGACCCAACATAGCCATTTTTGGCACTTCTAATCCACTCATTGCAGTAGAAGGCAAAGACTTATTTAATATTAAGCCAGCTTCTCTTATTAAGTTTGCAACTTACTTGGTGTGTTTTCCACATCTTGAGCCTAATGATGAATTACCCTAGTATCATCTCATCAGCCAGATAGCTGCTGTAGCCCTGGCAGAAGGAAAAGAGAAATGGCATACCATATATTGTCTGAAAAGCTTTAATATTTTCACATTTTAAAGTAAGTCTAATGATTTAGAATAGGGGACTGGAAGTCAGGACCACTTGGGTTCTGTTACCACCCCCACCACTGACTTGCTCTGTTACTTCATGCAAGTCATTTAGCCTCTTCAGCATTTATGAAATCCTCAGATGAAAGGCATTTATACATATAATATGCAAAACAGATCCTGTTCTTAAAATACCTTGCAAAATGATAGTAGTTTGACAAACTGTTCTTACCTTACCTCTCAACCTGGCACCTTGGATGGGCCAACACTAGTGCAGTCCACCCTGGGGTGTAATTTGGACATTGCAGAAGCTAAGAAGGGGAGAAGAAAGAAAGTAAGACATGAATTTCAGTGGAAGTTGGCTGCCTGCCTCCCTTAAGTTCCTTTTGAAAATCTGATCTGAAATGCAACGAGTTCAGCGGTGCACAAATTTCTTTGTCCGTCTAGCTCCCACTTTCCTCTAAGCAAAACCTTTCCTTGCTGAAACATACCTGAATGGATTTGTTAGAAGGTCAGCATGTCCCTCTAAGACCATAAAGCCTCATAAGACCAATAAGTCTTCAATAAACATGAAGAGACAAAGGAGAAGCAGGAATGGTCTTAAGACAGGCAGTTTTGAAATACCAGAGAGAAATATGGCCTTGTTAAGACAGTAGCAAAGATCTTTCCAACTGTGTGTGTGCTGAGATGCCCTTCATAATCCAGGTGTTATGGGGCCATTGTGTATTGCATGAAATCCTAGCCCCTTGAAGTCCGTGGTAAGACTCCTGCGGACTTCAGTAGGGTCAGTAGTTTACCTGTTGGTGAATCAGAGGGAATTTTGTGAAATGATTGTCTGGTCACTTTTAAGTTGTAGACCTACATGTTACTGTTGTTAGGTTACACTGCAACACTCAGCAGTTCCTATGACCAAGAAGGACTAAAATCAAGCAAATCTGTATACGTAGTTTAGTTTTAGACCTGTTTAGTCTAAAGGTAAATCGTAAACTGTACAAACTTATCTGGATATCACCTTGTGCTCCAAGGGGAACATAAATACATGTCTATAGATGTCTGCAGGGTGAATATTTGAGGAACAGCCACTTCATAATGTAAATTCGGTGGACAGGTTAAATTCTGAAGGAAAATTCTGTGTATTTATTTAGCTTGTGTTAAATTAAAAAGTATATTACTTTTCAGCTGTTTTGGCTGTCCTGCAGTGAAAGGAGCTGTGTGGTGGTGAATTGCATCAGTCATGCAAATCAGTGTTGGGGATGACTAGTGACTATTGGCAGGATTGTCTTGTGGCTAAAGAGATGGACTGGGAGGCCTGGGTCAGACCCACTGTGTGATTTTTTTTTTTTTTTTTTTTTTTTTTTTTTT